AGCAAGCAGGGTTGTGTCATCTGCATAACACAGATTGTTAATAGATCTTCCACCAATCCTGACACCACACTTCTCATAGAGCCCAGCCTCTTGGACAACCTGCTCTGCATACAGGTTGAAAAGGTATGAACAAAGATAGAGGAGAAAGAAAAATCTGAAATTATTATCAGAAGAGACTGAAAATTTCACTGGAGCATCGAGAAGCCAACACCAGGGGAACTGACTAGAACCAAGGAAAAAGAGACAGAACCCCTCCTTGGGCCCAGGTTCCCTGCACTGGGAATCTCCTAGATCAAGAGGCAAACGTGACACCAGAGAAAAAAGGTGGCAAGAGGCAGTGACAGAGAAGGGCCAGAACCAGGAGCCAGGCAGGGGGCAGTGCAGCGGGTCTCCGGCCACAGAGGGAGAAGCAAGTGCCCTCCAACAGACCACTACAGAGAGGGGCGCTTCCGCCAGTACTTCTGATGGAGCTCACAGAGCACCAGCACTGGCCGCCTCATCGGCCTGGACAGCGGCACCCAGCCAGCCTGCAGCACCCAGCTCAGCACTGAAGAGTCCCCGTCTCAACTCCAGTAATGGGTCAGCAGCCTGGGATGGATGTAGCTGCCAGGCTCAGAGGCACGGATGGAGGGCTCGCACGGGGGTGTGGCACGCGTGGGTGGAGGGTACGTGTGGGTGGAGGACTCGCACAGGGCTGTGGCACGCGTGGGTAGAAGGCATGCACCAGGAGGTGGCACGTGTGGGTCACTGGTGAGGCACATGAAGTGGCCTTGAGAATCTAGCCACCCCTACGCTCCCAGACGCGCTCTGTCAGCTCTGCCTTCTCTCGGCCTCTCTCGAGCGCTTCTCCCCTCGGTTCCCTGGACATCCTGCCCAAGTAGACACAGGGCCCCAAGGCCAGCTTCCAGCTCCACTTGCAGAGCCTTCAGATTCTCCTCTCAGACACGACAACTTCCCCTTCAGAACCCCTTGGGAGTCTGGGAGGCAGTACCCACAGGTCATGCCCCCCCCCAACAGTCTACTATGCCTGAGCCCTGGCTGCAGCCCCTGGAGCAGGCCAGCCCCTCAAGGGTCCTCCTCTCTTTAGAGGGCCTTCTCCTGAGACTGGTCCTCCCATGGCCACGGCTGCAGTGAGAGGCAGAGCTCACCGTCCTCATTCCTGAGAAGCACTCAGGCCCACTTGGTCCAGGAAGGACGTGTCCGCCGTCCTGGCAGGCTGTGAGATGGTCAGTATCCTTCAACCACGCCACAATTCAGATGCATCAATTCTTCTCTGGGCTTGCTAACTCACTGGCCAGGATTTGCAGGCATATAAAGCAATTCCAAATAGTACGGTCTGGCCCAGGCACACCTAAATCTTTAAAGTGACATCCTTGCTTTTCAGCGCCTTAAAGGGTCTTTTGCAGCAAATCTGCCCAATCCAGTCAATTCCGACTTCTGCTTCTACATACACCGGCTGGAGATTCAGTGCAAATGACATCCTTTTCAACTTCAACGTTTCCTCCATTTATCGAGATGCAGGCTGGAAACCAGATGTGAGGACTCCAGTTTCTTTTTGTTAATGCAGAAGGCAAGTCTGTCATAGAGAAAGCCCCAAATCAGGGAGAGGTGGCCCGCATGCCGATGGAGCCTTAATAGCATCTTCAGGGTCACCTTGGTTTGACCACTGACCCTGAGGACCTGGGAGAAGCCACGACCCTCTGGGCTGGACAGCACACTCAGAGTCAGGCAGCCAAGAGACAGGGAGCGGGCAGTGTGGTGCCAGGCTGCCCAGTGGCAGGAGGGCCTGTGGGAGTCCCCACTCTGGGCCCTCAGCACCGACAGGAGGACACGTCCTGGGGAGTGGACAACAAGAGCTGAGGGTGTATCTACAAAGCTCCAGAAGCTGCCCAGGACCCGAGAGACTGGGATCACAGGCAATGTGCACCCCCTAGTGGTGGCCACTCACACAACAGGGCAGTGGGGCAGAGGCCTCAATCTGGGCGCACCGGGGCCCAGGGAAGCGACCGCCCCAACAGGCAGGTGAGCTCCAGATGGCCGTGTAAACACCTGACTCCAGAGACCTACGATGCCAGTGAGGAGATGACCAAGGTCCAGGAAATGAGGCAGAAGACAAGGATAGGACACGCGGAACGCCAGGGAACAAGATGCAGAGGGCTCATGTCACCAGGTCTGGGGGGGCCAACCCCATCATTCGTGTGCCCACCTGTGCTCTGAGCAGACCCACCCTGGCAGCCAACAGCGGCTCTCAGAAGCTGTCTCGCTGGGCCCTCCCTCTGTCCAGGATAGCCCAGCATTCCAGCCAACAGCTCTGCTCAGAAGCCACACCTAACACTAGCAAACAAAAGAACCTCCAATCCAACTCCTGTCCCCTGAGGGACAGAGGACAGAGCCCCGCAGGAGTTCCAGTCATCTCCACCGGAGCAGGTCATCTTGTCCTCCAGCACAGTAGCCAGCAGGCCTGAGCTGCTGCCCTTCAAACAGCAGCCCACCAGCACCCAAGTCCACCCTGGCTCGGGGGGAGGAGAGGAGCCTGGGAATCTTCATTTCCTCACCTCTCTTGGCAAGTGTGCCCGGCCATCTGCGGGCCACGAGCCCGTGTATCTCTGGACTGTGCCCTGACCAATTCCAGCCTGAGTCATCTGGTCGTGAGACCTGCCCCTCAGCAGAAGGCCACATGACCCACCAGAGAAGGGCCACTGCCAAGGAGGACGCGAGGTGGACGCGGGGTCCAGAAATTCCCAGAGGAGAGACTGAGAGTCTCTGACAACCCCTTAGAGGTGCAGGCTCAGAGCACAGCGTGAACACGAAGGAAAACCCAGGTGTCTGGGAACCCTGACAGAAGGGAACCCTGGAGATGGGATGGAGGAGTCAGAGGGTCTGGAGGGGTGTCAGAGGCGGACAAGAGGAGCTGGAAGGAGGCTGGAGGTGAGACAGAGGAGCCAAAGGGGCCAGAGGTGGGCAAAGGGGGGCCAGAGGAGCTGGAGGAGCCAGAGGGGGGCCAGAGGGACCAGGGGCCGGAGCGCGGCCGGAGGTAGACTGGAGGGGCAGAGGGGGGCCGGAGGAGCCAGAGAAGGGGCGGAGGGAGGCCGTAGGAGCTCCAGCCCAGGGCTGAGCCCAGCTCTGTAACCTTTCCAGAAACCAGACTCAGGCCGTGCTGGGCAGCGGTCAGCGACACTGTGGCTCTGCACAGCGAGCACCTCGCGAGCAAGGCTGGCTCGTCCTCACGACGCTGCCACAGAGCTAGACGTCCTTTTCTGAGACAGGACAGCAGGACAGGGACTAGATGGGGCTCTGCTCCACCCCACCCCAAGTATGACCCCCAACCAGGCTCTGTCCCCACCCTGCACATCACCTCCTGGACCACATATGAGCACCTCTCCCCTCCTGCCCAGCCACGAGCTGGCCCCTACCCGACCTTGCTCTCCCTCACCCTACCAGAGGTCACTAAGAAGGACAGACAAACACAGCAAAAGCACAAAGCCACCAAGACCACCACAGCCACCACCCCTCCTCCACTGACCATGCACAAGGTGCAGTCCCCAAGGTCAGGAGACCTGCCTGGTCCAGGAGCAGTGCTCCCTCTGGGCCGCAGGGCCCTCTGCTGGAAGCAGGTGGGGCGGGAGAGCCTGGCTGAGTCTGCGGGCGGGCTCGCCTGGGCAGGAGCTGGCTCCAGTCGCCCTCAGAAGACAGGTTAGTGCTTTCTGAGGGGATCCAGGCAGCCCTGGGGCTGGGTGGGGGGTGATCAGGAGCCCCAGGCCGCTCCAGGTGCCATGCAGCAGCCCTCGCCTAACTCACGCAGGGACACAGAGAGGCACGTGCCTGGGATGGGGACTGAAGTCATCACCACAGGACAGTGTGACAGAGTCCATCCTGGCCCAATAGCAGGAAGGATGAGGACAGCCGGGAGGTCTGTTACACGATGGAACAGCCCAGCCCAGGGGCCCATGACCAATGCAGACAGGTCAGCCCTCACCTCCCCGGGTCCCAGCGGCACGACATGGCAGACAGAGGGAAAGCCTGGCCCAGGAGCCTAGAACTAATGCAAATGGGTAAGCCCTCACCTCCCTGGGCCTCAGGGGCAGATACAGGAGACACAGGGGGCAGTGGCACAGCCCAGCCAGGCTCTAACAACTAATGCCAATGGACTGGGCCTCCCCTCCCAGGTCTCAGAGCAGATGCAGGCCACCAGGCAGGCCTGGAGGCTCGGAGACACCAGCTGCAACCCTGCTGGATAGCACTGAGGAGCGCCTGCTGGGGAGACGGGACAGCAGAAGAAATGAGATGGCCACAGGGGTCTGGATCAATGCCCACTCGACACTGAGTACAGATCAGGGGACAAGTGCCCAACACACAGCCTCCTGCAGGTCCAAGCAGGGAGCTGCTCACACACAACGGCCGGCCAGCCTGACGGACAGCAGAGAAGGCAGCTACGTGGGCCTGGCAGAGACACTAATCCTCCACTAGAGTTCAGAAACCCTTCACCTTCACTCTTCAAAACCAGCTCAAAGGACCGAGCCCCAGAAAGCAGCCAGCTCCTCTGAAGAGCAAGAACGGAGACCAGGCGACTTTGGGGTGATTCTGGGGAGGCTACAGACACGAGCAGGGCTTAGGGAGGTTGTCACTCAGTTCCAAGTGACTCCTTGGAAGCAGCTCAGCGACCTGGCCTGCAGGCAGTGAGCCCTCCCCACTTCTGGCCTCCGGGACAGACATGGAAGGCGGCCCTCCCACAGCCTCACCTACCTGATGTGCAACCCCGTGCTTGGCTCCAGCCTCTCCCAGCTCTGGAGCTTTCCCAGCAGCCTCTGCGAAGGCCAGAAGTGACAACAATTAAAGCCACATCCCTGACCCTCCCCAAGGGCGCTGTGACGTTCCTGGCCATCCTGTCCACCTCCCTTCCTCTCCCAAGTGCCCACTGGGACTGAGCCAACCAGGCTTTGGGACCAGGTGCCCCGGGTCACTAATCCCGGTGTCAGCATACTGGTCCCCAAATCCTGCCATCAGGGGAAGGAGACCTCTCATGATGAGACTCACTGGGCCGGCACAGGTCCTAACATGCACCAAGGCGCCTGGGAAGGAACTGCCTCCAGGGTCAAGCGGACACTGCCCACAGAGCCAGCTCCTGTCCAGCGGCCTGCACTGAGCCTTACGCCGCCCAGAGGAGGGAGCCAGCCCCTCTCCATCAACCTGTCCAATGTGGGGGCCACGGGACCGGAGGGACTCTGGCTGGCCCCACATTCCACCTCCACAGTGCTGGGCAAAACCCCATCCTGTCCTTTCGGTCAGCCAGAGGTGGCCACACTCCTGGCCTGCCCCTCCCGTCAGGGCCGGCCTGGGTGGTGCGTATTCCTGTCCCCTCACCTGAACCCATGTGACCGACAGTTAACAGAAGTGGCCCAGCGGCCGACAGTCCCCCTGCCAGGGGGCCTGCTCACAGGCTCGGAAGACAGGAGCAGGTCATCTCTGGGGGCCTGCTCACAGCAGCAGCCCCCTTGGGAACACCCCACCTCCCGAAGGGCGGGCACTGGCCTCACTCACGTCCTTCTCCAGCTCCAGGCTGACCAGCTCCTCCTGCAGCTTCTCCTGCCGTCCGAGCCGCCGCCGCAGCCCCTCCAACTCCTCCTGCAGCAGTGCCTGTGTCTCCTGTGTCTCCCTGGGGTGAGGCAGGCCAGGTCACTCAGAGCCACGCTGGGCCGGCCAGGGCACAGGCATAGTGCCATTGGGCTCCAGGGTGTGCCCACAGGCTGCACCAGGAAGGGCTGAACCACACACACAGGCTGCACTCGGACCCCATGGCGGGGGCAGACACGGTCCCAGCCCACAGCCACACTTCCTCAGGTCCCCAGTGCCCAGCCCCACGCCCAGGCCTCACCTCAGGCGGGCATTGTCCTCCCGCAGCTGCTTCAGCTCCCGCTCCAGCTTGGGGAGCCGCCCCAGCTCTGACTTCATGCTCTTGACCACCGCCGCATCCTGCTCCTGCAGACACAGCTTCTGCTCCAGGTCCTACAGCGGCCAGGGGTGGGGACAGAGGGTCACCACTGCGGGCCCCCCGCTCAGTCAAGGCTAAGAGCGCCTTCCATTCCCAGCACCACAGCCCTCCTCCAAGAAGTTCTCAGGATTGCACCACAACACGCCGACACACTCACCCCACACACGTTTACCCCATGCACACTCACACGTCACAGCCCCACACTCACCCCATGCACACTCACACACACCACTGACATCCCAGCGCCTGGCACAAGCCCAGCATCAGCTGCCATGAGCTCTATCTGAGGCTCCGCACACACAGGCCCGAGAGCGCAGGTGCCCAGGACACTGCCCGTACCTTGACCTTCTGCTCTTGCTCGGCTCTCGCCTCCTGGCTGACCTGCAGCTCCTGGATCTTCTGATTGGCCTCCTGACATTTTCTACGGAAAGAGCAGAGCGCTGTCCAATGGGAATCACACATGCAGAACTTCCCGAAGGGAATACCAACATGCCCTCAATACATCCACCCAAAACCCAACCCAAGTTAAAATCCAAACAGCAGAGAGAGAGAGAGAGAGAGAGAGAGAGAGAGAGAAAGATCACGTGCAGACCTGCTGTCAGGTGAAACCAACAAGTGTCCTCACATGAGGCTTCCCAGCACAGACATGCACACACGTGCGCACGCTCAGGTGCAGACACACACACCTGCACACATACTAGCCAAGAAAAAGATACACATGTGCACACGGCACAGATGCACAAGCACACCTTCACAGTCACACACACACACAAACACAAAATGCCTGCACCCTCACCTACCTCACACACCTCCATGCATACTCCTCTCCCCCACAGCCAGGGCACCTCAGGACCCTGAGATATGCCCATGAGCCGGCCACCTGATGACACCACACTCTTCATCCCTGAGGGCCCCTGGGGTCCAGCGCACACTCAATGGGACCCCAACAACCTCTGCCAAACTGGTGGCCACCACCCACTGCCCTAAGCTGCCTCGTCTGCAGTGAAGAGGGCAGAGTTCTGAGGCTCCTTCCGATGGTCCTCTGAGCACGGGCACACTCCAGACAGTCACACTCCAGACGGGCACACTCCCTGACACCTGCATCTCTCCACCTACAACACCCTTGTCACCACAGCCCTCCTCCCAGGTCCTCTGGCCCCTCAAGTGCTGTGCTGCCCTCACCCACCAGGTCCCAGGTCCCTCCTGTCCACCCCGTCCAGGGTGCTGCCCATCCCCACCCTTGCTCACCTGAGTCCTGCACACTCTCTAGCCTCACATCCAGGGAGGTACCTCACCCGCCCAGGTCCTGCCCCTCCTCTGGCCCCACAACCAGAGGGATGTCATCCCTCACCCAATCAGGGTGCCTGACACAGGCCCCATACCCACCCAACTGAGTCCTGCCCATCCTTCAGCCCCTCACTCAAGGGGGTACCCTCACCTGGCCCTCCTCCAGCCCCACACCCAGGGAGGACACCCTCACCCGCCCATCCTCTGGCCCCACACCCAGCAGGATGC